TAAAATAAGGGGCTAGAGCAGAATCTATTATACTTCAAATGAGGTAAAAAAAAAAGCAGGGTTAGCAATCGTGATCTCAAACAAAGCAAAAGCAAACACCAACCTAATTAAAAGAGATAAGCAGGGAAACTACATTTTGCTAAAAAGCACCATAGACAATGGAATAATATCAATACTAAATATATATGCACTGGATGATACAGCATCCAAATTCTTAAAGGAAAAGTTAAATGAATTAGAGGAGGAAATAGATAGTAAAACTATACTAGTGAAGGACCTCAACTTTCCCCTTTTAGAACTAGATGAATCTTACCATGAAATAAATTAGAAAGAAGTAAAAAAGAATAATAGAATTTTAGAAAAGTTAGATATGATAGCCTTTGGAGAAAACTAAGTGGGAATAGAAAGGAGGACACCTTTTTTTTTCTCAGCTGTACATGGCACCTTCATAAAAATTAACCATGCATTAATGCATAAAACCCTCACAACCAAATTCAGAAAAGCAGAAATATTAAATGCATTCTTTTCAGACTATAATGCAATAAATATTACATTTATTAAAGTGATATGGAAACATAGATTAAAAAGTAATTGAAAACTAAACAGCCTAATTCTACAGAATGAGTGGGTATGAAAATAAATCATAGGAACAATCAATAATTTCATTAAAGAGAATGACGACAATGAGACAACATACCAGAATTTACATTATGCAACCAAAGCAATACTTAGGGGAAAATTTCTATCTCTAAATGCTTACATCAATAAAATAGAGAAAGAACAGATCAATGAATTGGACATGCAAATTAAAAAAAAACTAGAAAAAGAACAAATTGAAAATCCACAAGTAAACACCAAATTGGAAATCCTGAAAATCAAAGGAAAGATTAATAAAATTAAAAGTAAGAAAACCGTTAAACTAATAAATAAAACTAGGAACTGGTTTTATGAAAAAAAATCCAATGAAATAGATAAACCATTGATTGATTTGATTAAAAAAAGCTAAATTACCAGTATCAAAAATGAAAACAGTGAATTCACCACCAATGAAGATGAAATTAAAGCAATTATTAGGAGCTATTTTGTCCAATTGTATGCCAATAAATCCAACAACCTAAGTGAAATGGATGAATATTTACAAAAATATAAATTGCCCAGATTAACAGAAGAGGAAACAAAATACTTAAATAACTCTGTCTTAGAAAAAGAAATTGAATGAGTTATAAAAAAATCACCAGCATTAGAGGGATTCACAAGTGAATTATATCAAACATTTAAGGAACAATGAATTCCAATACTATATAAAGTATTTGGAAAAAAATAGGCAAAAGGAGTACTACCAATTTCCTTTAATGACACGAATATTGTTTTGTTGTTGTTACTGCATCATTCCAGTTGTCTCCAACTCTTTGTGACCCCATTTGGGATTTTCTTGGCAAAGATACTGGAGTCTTTCAAGCTGATTTCATAGGAATGGGGCAGGGGTGGGGGATTCCAGCTCATTTTACAGATGAGGAACTGAGGCAAACAGGGCTAAGTGACTTTCCCAGGGTCACATAGCTAGTAAGTTTCTGATACCAGATTTGAACTCAGGAAGATGAGTCTGGCAGAGAGTAGGCACTTAACAAACGCGGACTGATTTATTTGTTCTCTTCCCAGCCATCGATATCAATGAGTATAGGAGAATTTAGCTTTTGTCGACTAATTCAGAATTCTCATCAACTCCATCCAGCATGAATGTGTCCATCTAGTCCATAATTGGTTTTGGTTATAGCCAAATGAAGCTCAATATCTGTACCTGAATTCCATTAGTGCTATTCCTAAAGTGAGTGACTGTAATCTCCAAATTTGAAGCCCTTTACGCCTAGTCTAGGAGGCCTGGCCCTGGAAGCAGGTCTCTCTTCTAACACATTTGGATGGAGTTTTTCTCACAAGATCCAATTGACTCATCAGCTTCTCTTTTAGTCTCTGTGGCCTATATCTGAGAAGATGTGCTAATCTATTCTACATGTGCACTTTCAAGATGTCATCACAATTTATTAGGTTTCATGATGTTAGCAACTAAAGCATCTGTACAAAGCAAACCTAGCTTTCTTTTTTCTTTATCAGTGACGGTACTTGTGAACACCAGTGACAAAGATCATATTTTCTGGATTTGGACTTTCAGTTTTGTGTTACTGTATTTCTGCTAAAATATCTCTATTGCTTTTGTTTGTTTTAACTTCAGCTGTTCTGGTGTATTTTTTCTTTCAATCCAATTATGCATCATCTCATTACCATAATATTATTTCTCTTGAAAAATTAGAGATAATTGACAATGGAATTTCAATTTTATTATTGAAAATTTCAAATGATTATAACCATTCTCAAGTTATTTTAATTTTTTAAAATGGCAGTTTTGTGGAAAACCCCTTTTTGTAGTGTGCTTATCAAGATGAATGACACTGAGGAATGTAACAAGTAATACGGTTTTTCAAACTTCCACACAATGATTGTCTAACTTCAAGTATATACAGCATACCACATAGCAAAACAATCCATTTTGTCATAAGCCTACATCGATTGACAGCAACGTCCGTGCTGAAACAACACATACTGACTCAAATTCAACCTTGTTTAAATATACCATATTAAGTAACTACCGTGTGACCTTTAATGTTTTGTTGTTCAGTGGCGTCTGACTCTTTGTGATCCGATTTGGGGTTTTCTTGGCAGAGACACTGGAGTGGTTTGCCATTTCCTTCTTCAGTTCATTTTCACAGATGAGGAAACTGAGGCAAACAGCATTAAGCAATTTGCCCAGGGTCACACAGTAAGTTTCTGAGGCCAGAATTGAACTCATGAAGATGGGTCTTCCTGACTTCAGGCTCCGTCACCTATCTGTACCCTGCCTTTGCTTTTAGTCTGACCAAGTTTGTCATATTTCTCTTACTTTCATATACTCTGAGTTGAACTTTGTTTTCATTGAAAAAAAGCAGACCTATTTGTGTGGGAGTTGTGTTAAAATATCCAATACTTATGGCCATTGTTTTGTGCCCCATCTGTAAAGGTCTTGCATCCTCTGTCCCAGGGTAAAGGGTACTCTATTATTGTTTGGAAACTTCTACAATATCATATGATGTGTCTTAGAGAAAGATAAAACAAACATGTTCTGTGAAATGGGAATATTTCTACCCACAGGTTATTGGGAGGAAGTGCCTTGTAAACCTTTAAAAGTAGTAGTCTGTAAATGTAAATTAATTTTATTATTGAGTTGTTGTGGATGAAGAATTTCTCATGTGGTGGCCAACCCACTGGAGACAATTCTCTCTATATTTAGCCATGGTGGTTCTCTGAGAACAGACATTGAGAGTTTCTGGGACCACACTGGAAGCTTTTACAATTTCATGGAACCTGCCAGAGCTACTGTCTTATTGGCATATTATTCTTCGAGCTATTTAGACTTATGAGACATCATGATAAGGCAACAGAGCACTGAAGTATTATCACCATGATCTTCCTCATCATCATCATCAGGTAAGAAAATAATGCCCTCAATTCTTCATTTCTGTGAATCTTACAAAACATGTCATTGGTTCAGTGCCATCCAGGAAGTATTCATTTTGAACCTTGCTTAATGTCTGCTGTATTGTAAAATATACGTTTTTGACAATTTGACACATTTATGTGTCAGATGTGGTCAGAAGGAGGGAAAAGATCCAGTTATGTTTCTTGAAGAATTATCTAATTTGAGCTTTAAATTCAATTAAATTCAATATAATTCAACAAACGTTTATGAAATGCTTGTAACGTTTAAGGCACTGTGCTTCCTCATCATCATTGCTATGACTGAGCTAGGCAGGGACTGGGAGGAACATGAAGGGAAAGGCAGATAGGAAGAAACTCTGGGTTTGAGACCTGTATTTTAGCTATGAGACCTTGGTCAAATTACTTTTCCCTTCTGGGACTCAGTTTCTTTATGGGTCAAATGAAATGGTTAAACTAGATGTTCTCTGGGGTGTCATTTTATCTGCAGATATGTAGTACATTCTGGTCTCCTCTTTTAGAAGTCAGAATCTTGTATAAAACAAAATTTCACATGTGTTGTATTAAAAATAAATAAATACAGCTAATTACAAAAGAAATTAATGGAGAATGAAAATCCAAGGATTTATTTGGTAAATCTCCATGTAAAAAATCCAAATAAATTGTTATATGCTTGAACTTGATCCTTTTAGGAAGTTGAAGTATGTGATTCACTTATCCATTGATTAAGAATTTATATGAAACAACCACGTTTAGTAAAATGCTAAAACAAAATTATATTGTTGAGAAGTATAACATTTCAATTATTTGCCTTTATAACACAC